TATATATACATATATATATATACATACATATATATATATATATACATATATATATATATACATATATGTATATACATACATATATATATATATACATACATACATACATACATATATATATAAATATATATATATATACATATATATATATACATACATATATATATATATACATACATATATATATGCATACATATCTATATATATATATACATACATATCTATATATATATATACATACATATATATATATATATACATATATATATATATATGTATATATATATATATGTATATATATATATCTCCTAATCATTTTCTCCATGTGATACATATAAAAAATTAGAGTGTGTTAGGAATGGAATGATTCGCTCGTTGTCACGCGTGCGCACTCGTGATCTTATTCTTATCATTGACCCATCGACACATTTAAAGGGAAATAAAAAGCGAAATGGATACATTGTGGTGTGTGCCCTCTTTCAACCCCTCCCTCTTGTTTTCTCCCTCCTCATCCCTATATAACACACACACACACACAAATAGTCTTCTATGTCTTGCATCATATAATTATTATTATTAAAATTTACTATATATAGATTTCTTCTTTTCGCAATAGTTAAAATTTGAATCGGAACCGATGGATCCATCCGATGATGATGATGATGATGATAATTATTATTATTATTTATTATTATTATTATTATTATTATTATTATTTATTAGTAATTTAAGATAAAACTTTTATATTATAATCTTGCAATGGGTATAGTATCTCTTAAAAAAAAAATCATATAATGAGATCTTGAATACTTGTGATTGACACTACATTGAAAAGAATATTAATCGGTTTTGACTCGTGGCAACCATCGCTCAACTTACAAACTTACAAATTAAAAATCAAAATTTATAAAACTAAATGAAAATAATATTTTATAAAAAAATTAATATTTAAATTGAAATACATGGTCACCGCTCAAACGTGAAAATAAGTGATTTTTTTCAAATCTATATAGTGATGGGGATGCATAAGCTAAAAACTAAAACAATCATGAATTAACAAGACTCCGAAAACCAATCAAAATGTGATTGTTTTTCGTATGGTTGTACCTTTTGTATTATGATGTATATTCAGATTAATATTTTAATTATAAAATTAAATTTGATGATACTATTTAAACCTATCAAGCTGTGGGGCCCACGGCTCAGAAGCTTCTCATGCAGTGAGTGGGTCGCAGTAAACAGATGGATAGGGTGAGAAGCAACCCATCTTTGATTGGTGGCTTGGTTATACTTTCGCACTTCTTCTTCTTCCCTTTTTCTGTTTTTATTTTCTTTATATTTATCACATATATCCTGACAAGAAAAAAAAGAACATCGGACCTAAGTTTTTCTTTTGAAACGAAAATCTGTATTAAAATTTTAATCAGAAGTTACAAAAGACGCTAGTCCTCTCAAAATTAGCCAACGCCACCAGTGGCTCAGGAGTCACTAAGTTAGTAGCACAGAAAAAAACTAAAAATGCAAAAAAAATTGAATGAAAAAAAAGTTTATATTATATACACTAATTAGGAACAAGAAATAAAGAAGAAATGTTTCAAACAAATGCAACGGTTATAGATGTTATGCTGTCTGTATATTGAAGCATATATATATATATATATATATGTATATATATATGTATATGTATATATGTATATATGGGGGGTAAATGCATAGATGGTAAGGTCATCAAAGCAGATGGCAGTGATAAGAGGGAAGGCATGATGCTGATGCTGGTTGGGATTCCTCTTCTTCATCATAGCCTCCGCAGCTGCTTCCTTGCAGGTTGGAAGACGTCCTTTGCTCCAAGAAATCTTGTTTGGACAGTTATTTCTCTGCCTCTTCCTCCTCCTCCTCCTCCTCTTCTTCTTCTTCTTCTTCTTCTTCTTCTTCTTCTTCTTTTCCCATCTTTTCTATTTGTGAGTAGGGGGGAGGTGGCGGATAGGGATTGGTTTGGCTAGCAGTGGCATTTGGCCCAGCCATGGGGTTTGGGGAACATGGAGGCGGCGGGGGTTCCTTGTTCCTGTAGTAGAAACCTGTGGGTTGCAGCCGATATGGAGTGCGCGGAGGCGCAGAGCATGTCTTCTGCTCCTGCACTTGTGTCGCCTAAATCTGTTCGGAATTAGCAGCAAAGCTTGGACTTTTATGCGTCCTTCACTGTTGCTGCCCGCCGTCTGCGCCCTCACGGAGATGGATAGATGCTAGATCCGCTTCATCGGTTGCAGAGATGGAATCTGGCACTGGGTTCTTCGCTCTCGAGGAGTGCCGCCTAGATCCGAAGTGGCTCATCGATCCCGAGTTACTCTTCGTCGGGCCTAAGATCGGGGAGGGCGCTCACGCCGAAGTGTATGAGGGAAAGTGAGTTGCTTGTCTTGGATCGGTGGTTCCGAGTTCTTGATTTGGTCGCTGACGTCTTGCATTCTGCATCGCCTTTGGTTGTTGTTCTTGTTGGCCATGGTGTGCAGGTACAAGAATCAGAATGTTGCTGTGAAGGTTATGCACAAAGGGGACTCCCAGGAGGACGTGGCGAAGAGGGAGGCGAGGTACATGAGGGAGGTGGCGATGCTTGCCCGAGGTCAACATAAGAACCTTGTCAAGGTTACTTCCGCTAATGGCACTCTCGTCCTAGAGTTCTTCCTTGTGCTTCGTGTTGGTTGTGGGGCTCACATCTGATGTCCATGCCAATCGCAGTTCATTGGAGCTTGCAAAGAGCCTATGGTGGTGGTCACCGAGCTTCTGCTGGGGGGATCGCTGCGCAAGTACTTGATAAACATGAGGCCAAGGAACTTGGAGCCTCGTGTCGCCGTTGGCTTTGCACTGGATATAGCTCGGGCTATGGAGTGCTTGCATTCTCATGGGATCATTCACCGTGATCTGAAGCCTGGTAATTGTCTTTGAATGAGCTATTTAGCTTGAATTAGATGTCATTTGCCTTCTTACTGTACAACTCTGTCCTTGTAGTTGTTTCTGAACATCACCATGAATGTATGATCATTTTCCTTACACTGTACCGTTAAGTTCTCAGTCTGTTTGTCACTTGTGCGATCGGAGTTACAGATGAATGTTTGAGGATATTTTATCTTCTATCTAAATCTGCTTTTTCTCATGAAAATATAATCAGGTAAATCTGCAAGTGTTTTAGAACTTATAAATCTGATCATCGACCATGTTAACTATTTCTAAATTGACATAATTGTAGAACTAGTAGCAATAGTGAAGAAACATAGGTGACACATGTAATAAAATTTTCTATATTAGTCATTGCCAAATAGTAAACTTATTTGTTCTTTTCTGGGTCAATCATTGCCAAACATTATTTGGTTAACAGGACTCTTAGCCAACATTCACCTTGCCTTTCCATCTGCATCCTTATTTGTCAATTTATTGTACTTGTTGTTAGACTTTAGGCTACACCATATTCCCCTCTTTGCCAGGCTAATTTAACTTTTATCTCTGTTTTTGGTCATCTTATATCCTGCTATACTTTAACTCAGCTATCGCCCCGTTTAGAGATATCATCTCTTGTGCCATATACTGATGCGTTTTCCATGCAGACTTTTAGCATCATTTGTGTGTAGCTTCCTCTATGTTGTTTCTGTGTTTTCTAGTCATTGTCTCCCAACTATATTATTCAACTTCAGTTGCTAATGGATCCATCTAAGGAATGCCTCTTCAGATCATTCTGTCTAAACTCAAATTTATTGCCTCCCATTAATCTAAATCCTCCTGCTATTCTTTGTTGGTCAATGCCACTATTTTCTAAAACCTTGCCTTTGTTGTAATAGAGATTAAGGTTTATAGTTGTGATTAGGTCTCTCATTGTGTAACAAATCAACCTTGTCAAGACATCATCCTGTGACACTACAGTAGTTCCTATTTAGTTATGATAGCTTCTTTAAACTCAAAGTCTTTGTTTCTGATGCGTCATAAATGATCCAACTTTTAACATTTGCATTGTCATTTTCTGGAAGTACATCTGTTGAATAGGAGACCAAAGAATTTCCCACCTCTAATGCAATTTGAATTGTGCAAGCCCCAATGTGTCGTCTAGATTTATAGCACTCTGTACAGCAATGGAATAACTTTTACTGGGTAATAGTCACATGCATGCTTTGACAATTTCATAATTTTACTGAATCAGTCATTAGAATTCCACTGGTTTTATAGGAGTGTTAATGCAGGATCAAGGAAATGACATTTTGTGCATATCTGTGAAGGCAAATTCAATATTAGGACTGTAGTTTTATTAACAATAGTATTTACCAATAGGCTATGCTAGCATCCCTAGTATTATGATAATTCATATGACCGATAATTTTTCTCCCTTAACATAAATAAATTAGCATAAATAATGTGTTGCTTTATTTAAATTATTAACATTCTTGTTTCTTTAGTATGGCTAAGGAAATAATTAAAATTGATTTCCTTAATTACGTGGACAAGTTAAGAATCTTGTTAATCAATTAAATTATTAATTGATTTATGTCCTAATGAATTATGTGATTTTTAGAAGTAAATAGTTCAAATTCTATTTTTGTGTGTGACTCATAAAAAATAAATATTATATTTATATCTGTATGTATGAAAGCAAAATAAAAATAAATTAAAAAAATTTAAATTATTATTTACAGAGCTCATCTTCTCCTATATAAAGGGAGCTTCTCCTCCCTCGTTTCTCATCAAACTTTACAACAGAAGGATTGAGGAGAGGATTCCCTAAGGAGAGGTAAGATCATTTATTCTTTTCTAACTAGCTTTGCTTCATGTTTGAGATCTTTGATATTAGGATTCTTATAATTTTATAATGCATAATAATGTATTAATTTCGAAATTTTATGATTGATAAGTAATAATAATAATTGATTTGTGATGTTATAATGGTTGTTTGACTTATAATGGTCTCTTAAGCTTAAATGAATTTCAATATTAATTTAATTATTAAAATTCTTATTTCTAATTCATGTAATTAGATATATTTATGTTTCAAGAATTATGTGTGAATTTGATTTAATTACTTTTAAATTTAGGACCATGAATTTAAATTATTTAATTTATGGATTTGAGTTACTCTTTAATAATTTAAAATATTAAAATCTAATTTAATAAAAGAAGTCTAACTATGGTCTGACCTAAGTCAGGTTGATCTACCAGATCTGGTCGACTCAGCCCTTTGGTCAGGTAAGACCTAATCTATGTGGCAAGGTATGACCTAACTAATATGGCCAAACGTGGTTTAATCTATGTGGCTAGGTATGACCTAACCTATGTGGCTAGGCGTGACTTAGCTTATGTGGCCAAGCACGATCCTGCTCATGTGGCCAGGTATGACCCAACCCACGTAACTAGGCACGACTCAACTTGCGACCCAAGCGTGGCCCAGTTCAGTGTTAAGTCTAAACTCAACTCGTGAGTGAGTTTTAGCTCAGCCTACGAAGCTAGGTTGTCCAGCTATGCGATTGGCATTAGACACATCGTCATCTCTCTATCTAGCCTATTATACCTCAACCCTGCCTGCTACTTGGGATAAGCATGTGCGACGTATATGATCGGTCCAAGACTCAGGTGGGTTGATTCGGTTTGTGCTAGCACTATATGACATATTCCAATATCCTCTCTTTTTATTGATTTGAACTCGTTAATTGATTGAATCAGACAGGTTTGATCAGTTCAATCCAATTTTGAGTGATTCCAGATCAACTTGATTAGTTCAAACCTACTTGACTTAATTGAAATTAATCAAATCTAAATTAGAATAGTCTATGGTGATTCCAGGCTGATTCTATAAGGATTTGAGGTTGGTTTTGTTACGTCCTAATTGAATTGAGTTTGGTTCAAGTTAATTGAGTTATTTCAATTATGGTTCTATTTGATTGAGGACTATTGAGAGACTGATGCCTCATATCTTTATGATTTGATAAACTTAAAATTTTTATCTGAATGTGTCATTTGGAAATGATTATTGGTTTTATATACTTTTAGTTTATGATATTGATGTGATTGTTACCATGTAGTATATATGACTATGCTAGTGGTACACTTTGGAAGTGCAACTTTTGAAAGGAGCTATGGGCCCATCACAGTGCGAAGCCACTAATGAGCATAATCTAGCAGATTATACAACAAGCATGGTCCCTCATAATGTTTTATCATACTATTTCTTGGATACATGCATGCATGAACGAATTAATGTAATGAATGATCATGGTTGACTATGTATCCCTATCAAGGGAAGGGAGGGCGATTCCCTTCGGGGATTAGTGGGCTGTTAGACGTGATTGTTAGACGCTTCCTTCATCCATTGTTGGTAGGAACGTGTCCCCACTTGGGCGGGTGAGGGATACCACTTCATATGATATTGGGAGTGTGATACGAGTTTTCTCCGTTCATTGTTGAGAGGAATCCATCCCGTGGAGTATACCTCTCCATCCGTTGTTAGGAGAGTGTACCATTGGGTGTGGTATACATCTTTGTTATCTGACTGTTATAAATGTCATCGACATGTGTTGCATGTGATTGATGCATGATTTTGTTTACTGTATAAGAATTATTATTAATTTTCTAATATATGAATTTCATAATGAATGGATGCGTTATCATTTTATATTAAATTATTGACATTTATATATATTTCACATATATTAAAATTATTTTTATGATAAAATTATTTTTATGATTTTTCAAATATTCATACCAGTATGTGTAGTTGCTGATGTGTTTTTATCTTATATTTATTTTCAGAGTGACTTATTATTTTGTAATAGATCTAAGGCTTAAGTGGAAGGACTTTTTTGTCACTTGTTCCTACTAAGAAGATATGATTCTTTTAATAAAAATAAATAATTATTATTTTAAAGATAAGAATTTGAATTCAAAAATAAAAGAAAAAAATCTTCTCTAAATTATGAATGTTAAAATAATAGTTTTTTTTTTATAAATCTGGGTGTGACAATTTAATCAGATCAGGGCAATGGTTTTGAGAGTCTATTGGAATATGGGATTTTAGGATTAAAATATTAGATAACTCAATTAGTTTTGAGATTTAGGTTTTGGGTTTATGTAGTAATGTAAATGAAGTATGGTTTTAATATATTAGGGTCATTTTAGTAAGCCAAATATGTTTTTTTTTCTTTGATAAGGAAATGATTAATTTAAGATGTTACTCAAGGAGAGTCTCATTAAATGATTTGAACTAAGATTATTGAGTAAAATGTCAAAAATTTAGTATATTTTCACTAAATTACAATAAGTGTTATAATATTTTGTTATAGAAACTCTCGTAAAATCTTACGTTTTGAATATAATTTTGTCACGGCACTCTTATCCACCTTTTGAAAAGTAGATAATAGTTATTAATTTGATTTGATTATAGAATGTATTGTTTTCTGTTTGAGATGTAATAAATAAATAAATATCAATTGACTTAATTATTCATGAAGATGGACATATTAGATTTATATCTAACACTTAAAAAAAATAATTTGTTCATCTGACTAGAACTATTATATGATGCTTATGTTTACTGTGAAATATCTAGATTTTTATTTTACAAAAAAAGTTTATTTCATGAGTCTTGTAGCATATCTTTTATAGTTTATTTATGTTGAGGATCTAGAATTCCTTCAAACAATTTTGTTATAAATTTTAAGTAGATTATACATGAATGAAGTTTGACATAATTTCTATTACAGTTTGTTACCCTATGCTCTGGAATATTATTCTTGTCTATAATTATAAATAGAATAAATTTAATAGAAAATTATGAAAACATATTTGCTTCTTGTTCTGTAGTTTCTTCAAGGTTGATTATCTTCTATACATTTGCCTTACATTGTTATGAATGCATATGGTTAGTTTTGAAAAAGTTTTAACAATTATTGACTAGAC